CGAAACTACTTTGTTTGGTCTTCCAAAAGACGAAACTACTTTGTTTGGTCTTCCAAAAGAGGACACGACTAGAAATCAGTGGTTAAGTTGTATTTACAACACTGTTCCAGAACCAACATTGCTGTTGGGTGATTTTAGGGGCTTTTGCACCGGAGGAACCTTTTCATAGTTCCTAGCAGCGCTTATATTATTACACTCACTGGTTGGCCATTAACTGCGAGCAGACAGAGTGTCATTCAATGCATTGGAGAAAACATAAATAAAGAAACGAAGTTGCTCGTCAGATTTCCCTAACAAGCAACCATATTTTTAAAAATAAACCCAAAAAACCGCAACCCGCGACCTGGGATTTTTTCATGCAACTTTACAAAAAAAGAAGCCCAAAGTCGCGTATAATGCGCGGACTTGGCAACTATGCTGGCAACCAACGTAAATAGGTGCATTACTGCCACCTTCTGCTCCGGAGTGTGGAAAAGAGTTTTATATTCTATTTATCAGTCCCGTCTCTCTAATAAAATCAAAGAAGACTTTACTATTTATTTCACTTGACCATTTTATTAAAACCTTTTCCTTACTTCTATAATTTTTCCCCTTTCTTGTTCGTATTTCCTACATTCAAGAAACAGGCCTACACAAGTTTTTGTTTCTTCAACATAACATTGTGTTCACATAATTCATTTGGATGTTTCCCTATTATTTTGAGTGTGCTATTTAAATTTGAATGGCCTAACATTATTCTGTTATAGATAACCCTACTCTGAAGGAGGAGCTAAATTAGTTCCCCCAAATGGAGTTCCTACAACTAAATATGTTCCTAGTTCCTGCGGTGTGAACATGCCAAAAAGCGGGAACCTCCGCCAATAGTTCTAGTTCCTCCGGTGCGAAAGCACCGTGCCAGTGATGTAATGGTGCTTTTCCACTGCGTGGTACGACTCGGCTCGGTACGGCTTAGTACGGCACGGCACGGCACGGTTCGGCTCGGCTCGGCACGGTTTGCATTTCCACTGCAGTTCAGTACCGCTTTAGAGTGGGCGTTCACTTGGAACCCCAACCGAAGTGGTACTAAAAAAAGTACCAGGTACCAGGTACTGTACCCAGTGGAAAACCCCCCAAAAGTGAACCGTACCGAGCCGTACCGTGTCGTACCATGCAGTGGAAAAGCACCACAAGTGAACTGTACAGTTACCAAAACGTAACATCTAAACTCTGCTGATCACAGATCTAGCTGCGTCACTGAACTGTGACACAAACACAAAAGAACCGCTAGATTTAAATCAGCACAGCCAGCGAAGGATCGAATGCAACTGTTTTGAACGAGCGCACCTTTTTTTAACAACCAAAAAGTTTTGTTGTCTGTTGCGGAAGAACAGACGTTCCTCTCGTTGATAGCAGAGGAGCAGATCCAGCGAGAGCTTAATAGGGCGACGCGGAATTAAAACATTTTTTTTAGGAGTCGTGGTAGTAGAGGTGGCGCAACTATAAGGACATGTGAATAATCCCGCCCACTCTAAAGCGGTACTGAACTGCAGTGGAAACGCAAACCGTGCCGGGCCTTACTGAGCCGAGTCGTACCACGCAGTGGAAAAGCGCCATTACATCACTGGCACGGTGCTTTCGCACCGGAGGAACTAGAACTATTGGCGGAGGTTCCCGCTTTTTGGCATGTTCACACCGCAGGAACTAGGAACATATTTAGTTGTAGGAACTCCATTTGGGGGAACTAATTTAGCTCCTCCTTCAGAGTAGGGTTATCTATAACAGAATAATGTTAGGCCATTCAAATTTAAATAGCACACTCAAAATAATAGGGAAACATCCAAATGAATTATGTGAACACAATGTTATGTTGAAGAAACAAAAACTTGTGTAGGCCTGTTTCTTGAATGTAGGAAATACGAACAAGAAAGGGGAAAAATTATAGAAGTAAGGAAAAGGTTTTAATAAAATGGTCAAGTGAAATAAATAGTAAAGTCTTCTTTGATTTTATTAGAGAGACGGGACTGATAAATAGAATATAAAACTCTTTTCCACACTCCGGAGCAGAAGGTGGCAGTAATGCACCTATTTACGTTGGTTGCCAGCATAGTTGCCAAGTCCGCGCATTATACGCGACTTTGGGCTTCTTTTTTTGTAAAGTTGCATGAAAAAATCCCAGGTCGCGGGTTGCGGTTTTTTGGGTTTATTTTAAAAAATATGGTTGCTTGTTAGGGAAATCTGACGAGCAACTTCGTTTCTTTATTTATGTTTTCTCCAATGCATTGAATGACACTCTGTCTGCTCGCAGTTAATGGCCAACCAGTGAGTGTAATAATATAAGCGCTGCTAGGAACTATGAAAAGGTTCCTCCGGTGCAAAAGCCCCTAAAATCACCCAACAGCAATGTTGGTTCTGGAACAGTGTTGTAAATACAACTTAACCACTGATTTCTAGTCGTGTCCTCTTTTGGAAGACCAAACAAAGTAGTTTCGTCTTTTGGAAGACCAAACAAAGTAGTTTCGCTTTCACAACGAAACCTTGAGTGAGCGGAGGCCTGCGGCTAGAGTGAGCAGCAGCCGGCGACCTAGAGTGAGCAGCGGCGGGTGGGCTTGCGGCAACCACATGTGACGACCCTGGGCTGGACTCCGCTTCGTCCACGGTGAAAGCCGATCCGGCGATCCACAGCGCGAAGTTGATGTATTCCCTCAGCGACCGGCACGGATCAGCTCAAGGCATGACGAAGCTTTCACAACGAAACACACAGCGCCTTCACGACATGGCGGCAGCAACAATACTACAGTGAAAATAAAAGTTACGCCTTCTTTCTTTGCGTGAACATTTGGGCGGCGTTATGCAAATCTTCCCACATAGTGACGTAGATATGTGGGGGCGTGTTAGAACGAGCCGTTTTAGGTAGGTGTGGTTGACTCTTAACTTTTATAAAGAATATCTCTTTGGATTTGAGACTTTAGTCTTTGCAACTTTACAGATCTTCTTTATGCACCAAGAGCTTGTAACACTCCAAAGAGAAAGGAAAAATTGAACTTGCATCATATGACCCCTTTAAATATAATATGATAAGTATAAAAATATTGGCTAACTTGTTTTCTTTGCATTATTTGAGGTCTGAAAACACTGCATTAGTGCCATTTTTCATTATTATTATTTTTAAAATTTTTAATTTTCTGCACATAAATGCTCTAAATGACAGTATGTTTATTTAGAAAATTGGGAGAAGTGTTGTCAGTAGTTTATAGAATAAAACAAAAATGAATCAAAAAGGTTTTTGTTTACAGAATGTGTGTGTACTGTGTATATTATGCATATTTAAATACACATACATGCATGTATATATTTTGAAAATATTTACATGCATTTACATGCATATATTTATATTCATATAATTTATATTATATATAAATATTATATAGCCTATATATTATATATAAATATATTTAATATATGTTAAACATAACAATAATGTTAATCATAAATATATCCATGTATGTGTGTGTATTTATACAGTACATCATGTCTAGAGCTTGTTTCTATAATGAAAGGATTCACCAACTCAACACTGAACACAGGAGATTTGAGCAGTGAGTGAAATCTGACTTAACTGTCCATATTGCGTTCATGAAATTGACAGATATGTATGATTAGCTACATTACTCAATGTTGCAAAAAACACATAAAGAGAAACCTTTGAGCAAATATGAAAAGCCCCACCCCACATGTTGACGGGATTTGTTAAATGTTTGTGATGGCAGAAAACAGCTAGGGGTGGTCTCAAACTGCATTTTTGAAATTGATTTAATACAAAGCAGTTTTAAGAAAAAATACAGCAATGGTGTTGTAGACTGATGAATTTGCACATGGCTTGTCTTTAAGCATATAAAACATAACAACAACAACAACAACAACAGATAACCATGTAAATAATGTTTTAAAAAAACTTGTTTTCAATACTTTTGTTTAATGTTTGTGCATGACTGTGAAAAGCCAGCCTGTGGTCCAGCAATGCACGCACAGAGACACACACTTCCGCATGAACATAGTTTTAATTTATTATTATTTAATTAATAGTTCTGTAAAATAATACATTTGTACAAACATTTTAATTAAATTTTGCTAAAGATTTGCTTTTGTTATACATTTATTAATGGCCAGTATGTATCATGTGGTTGTAATTTGCCTTTAAGTGTTATGGGTTTTTAAACATTATTTTCAAAAAACACATTCCCATTTATAAGAAATATTAAGTATTGTATGGTTAAAATTGCAAGAAGTCAGTCGAAGTATCAGTATGGTGCCGGGTTCCTGTCTTACCTGCAATAGCCTGTTCCATTGTGGAAAGTGACACAGGCAGCGTTGTTCACACAGGGCTTCACAGGGTCCACACACTGCAGAGCTGTGAAGAAACATGAACACATCAGATCAGGACTGGCTCAATTAAGATTACATCAAGTACTGTGCAAAGAACCAATAACAGCAAACTCAAAATTAATACTAGAAATGAACCAATATAGAAACACTTGGGCTAGACAATAGAGATTTTTTCATTACACAAAACACTTGATTTTGATGGTTAAATTAAATATTTTTTCATAATGACATTTACTGATTACTGTCTATACAGTATCTATGGTCATAACAGCAGTTACTTTTCAACTTGAATGACTCTCTTGTGCATGTCAATGCTACAGATTAGATATTACAAATTAGACATTTTGATGCATTTTGATCAAATATTTGTTGTTAGACATTAAATTTACGCAGGAAATTGTGTTGTTTTTAATAAAACTAGTTTGCTGTACTTTGGTATTATTAGATTAAATTGGAACCTGCTGCCTATCTGTATTTTATCAACAAGCAAACACCATATGCCAATGTTGTTACATTATATTGAACATTTATGAGCGTATATATCACAAAAATAGCATATATATATATAGATCTTTCCAGTAATAAATATAGCTACTGACGGCAAATGACTTTTTAAAAAATGTGTTCATGAAATATAAAGTACTTACCATATGATATTTTAAGGCAGCAAATAACTAGAAGGATGACTTTGCCCAAAGAGACACTGGGTAATTGGCCCATATTTTAAGTCTTAAAATGATCTTCTAGAGTCGAAAAACATATTATAATAGTGGTGTACAGCACATCTGAGTCCCCTGAAAAAAGCCCCTCCCACCAGCAGTCTTATGAAAATTTCTTTTGCATGATTTAAAAGTAGCCTAATGAATGTGGAGGATTATCAGTGCATTGGTGCATTTTATGTTATTATTAATTAACATATAATTAGCTATATAATGTTCGTAATGATTTTGATAACACTTTCAGTCAGATTGAAATCCCTGAAGGAATAGCCTTAATATTTAGTCCATGAAGGTGGAGGCAAAAGTGCTGCTGCTTCGGTTTGATTGTTATTTTAGCAATAGCAGGAGGATCCTTCAACAATAATAATACGCACACATCTGTATTAGGCCCCCGGTCTAAATATTTTATAACAGTAAGCTCAGTAAAATTAATAGGCTAACGGCCAGAACACGTCTTAGCATCTCTAATTGTAGGAAAGAAATTATACAAGCAAAATTCATGTCTTAGGAAATGAACAGTAAAAGAACTAGTTGAAAATCAGAGCCTACATTAATGGAATAACTACTTTATGGATACATGCTACATTTTGAGAAAAACAAACCAAAATTAACATAAATTTTGATGATTGACATTCTTTTTATCAACTGACTACCACAAATAAACAAGCAAAAATGTCAGCTTGTCGATGTTGCGAGCACGGCATTCTCAATACTCAGAAGAGCTAAACTGGATAGTCTTTCTTGTAACACTGTGCTCTGGAGAAATGTCAGTGGGAGCTTAACGTAAAGCACGAGTATAGCTCTCAGCCACTTTCTGATTTAAAAAGTAGCTCTGAAATGAAATAAGCTTGGATACCCCTGCTCTAATATAACTGGTTCTTCTTATGTGCAATTCAGCAAACCTCCCCTCTTTTACTGGCAAAACAAATTTGGTTTTTGCTTACTTCAGCTTTTTACTCAAGTCATGGGTTGTTTTGGTTATTTTTATATTCAGACAGATGTCTAGCTGTCTTGTCCATATACATTTGTTATTGCAACACACCAACTAAAGCTGCTACATTTTGTTCTCAAAAGCATATAAATGAAAGGAAAAGGAATGTTAGTAATGATGAATTTAAAATGATTAATTTCCTTCACATTACATAAAAAGAGCAGCCTGCTTTGGCAACAAAAAGTCACAGGCCAGTATACCATTGTACCACTGTAGCATTTCTGTAAGAAAGAATGACAGTTCCTTGTAGTGAGACATCTACCAGTCCAAAAGTTAAATGTCAGTGTGAACTGTAAAAACAGAAAGAAAAGCAAATACAAACGAGTTTGAATTATTATATTTATACTGTAGATTTGGTAAGCTGAACAAACCTTTTTTAGGCTCGTCCCATTGGTACATGGGTGTCTGGTTGGTTACTGTGGGTTTAATTCTTCAATGCATGTCAAATACAGATTAATGTAAACACTGAAAGAGAAAACTGTTGGAACCCAGGTCATATATATCATATCTGCAACCGTGCAAGAGGCAGGACCACAGATACAAATATGTAGTTCTAGACTGCACCGGACTGCATCTGACCCAAATCTATGCATCTTGAACGAAGTGGCAGGGCAACACTCTCCCCCGACACTAGATTCAATTATCTGGTCTGGATTGAGTAACTAGACAAATCTCCTCGCTGTAGAGCAAGTGCTATTTGTGGGCAACTTTTGCACCAAGAAAACAATTGAACAGCAGGAATTAAACCACTAATTCTGTAGTTTCTATTAAATTGTAGATTCTAAAATACTGTTATATGACAATATAATATTTACTACTCAATGCCTACATAGAGAGTAAAATCATATTTTTTGCTGATTGCAACAAATCATCAAATGAGAAGAAAATTGAAAGTTAACATAATTGAAACATAAAACTCTAAACCAGCGCTGTCCATTCCTGCTCCTAGTGGGCAACCACCCTGCAGAGTTTAGCTTCAATCCACTTGATACTTGAACCAGCTAAGTCTTCAGGATTCCTAGAAACTGCCAGGCAACTGTGTTGGGGAAGGTTGGAGCTAACTCTGCAGGACATTGGCCCTCCCGGAGCAGGACTGAACACTGCCCTAAACAGAATATACTGTACTTTATTCACAAAATTAAACTTAAATTGTACTTTCATGCTTCACAATATATGTAGTTATCATGCATTTTAAGAACAAGACTTGATCTCACCTTTTCTTCATTATTGGGCGGGTCGAGTGCAAGTGGGTCTTCTGTAGGACAGTAATGGGAGTTACCAGATCAGTGGGCGAGGCCATAACGGAAGGGTGTTTTCGACCACGTTACTTACCTTACAGCGACTATTGCATTTAGGGGTGGGGCCAGTTAAAGGTCATCATTTTATGCCATGATTTAGAAACACCTACAAATTTAGAAACGCCTCAAATGGGGGCTCTGTGTTGTGGGAAAGGTGTCCCCAGCTCAGCAGATGCCACTGTCACGTGTTTGCATTTCCCGGGAAAACACTTCCAAATTTGTGATTTGTTTAAAGGTGCAGAATGTAATTTTTTTGACTGTACTAAAGTATAAAAATACCATAACATGTTTGCAGGAATTTAGGAAATATGCTGAGTTCACATAATCTCTTAAAAACAATGCTACAGACAGTTATTCCACTTTGAAATGTGCATTCTGTGTCTGAATGTCTGTTTTTGCTTTGGTCTGTGTGATTCTGGTCACTGCCAATTAACACAATGAAATTTCAACACCCCAAGTTGCCATTCGCGAAAAAAAACATTGTATTGCAGCCATGGAGATTACAGATTCAACCTGACCTAGGGCTGGACAATAATTCAATATCAATATGTATCGCGATATAATTCTTTTCAATAACAGTGATATGATTTTAAAACACATTTCCGATATTTCGATATAAGTTACCAGTGTTTCCCATACATTGATTTATTTGTGGCGTTTGACTTCGTTGAATAAACATGTTTCAAATCATGTAATACGGCGCGGGTGTTTTATATGAATGTATCTCTGAAGGGAACCGACTGTCTTCAGAAAAGTTACATGACATTTTCATTTGATCTGATAAAGGAGCGTTCATGAGCGGAGCTGCTTTGATTACAGCCGTTACCGGAGAAACCGCAAGTTCTACCGCTCTCACAGCGCCTCCTGCTGGCAGACAAGCAGTTTTTCCATTTTCAATAAGCCCGTCTCCAGTAACATGTTTTTGTTGTTGCTCTTTTTTTCTGCAGCAACTCGGAGCACTTTTCATTTTGTTTATCCTGGCTGAAGCACATTTGTTTCAATCTATAACAATAATCAGCCACCCTACATTACAGTCAAAGGTTTTTGAACAGTAAGATTTTTTATTTTTTATTTTTTTTAAGAGTTCTCTTCTGCTCACCAAGTCTGTATTTATTTGATCCAAAGTACAGCAAAAACAGTACAATTTAGAAATATTTTCTATTTGAATATATTTTAAAATGTAATTTATTCCTGTGATCAAAGCTGTATTTTCAGCATCATTACTCCAGTCTTCAGTGTCACATGATCTTCAGAAATCATTCTAATATGCTGATTTGCAGATTATCAATATACAGTTGAGTGTTTTTTTCTTCAGGATTCTTTGATGAACAGAAAGATCCAAAGATCAGCATTTATATGAAATAAAAAGCTTTTGTAACATTATACACTATACCATTCAAAAGCTTGGAGTCAGTATGATTTCTTTCTTTCTTTTTTTTTGGAAAGAAATTATAGAAATTAATACTTTTATTTAGCAAGGATGCTTTAAATTGATCAAAAGTGATGATAAAGACATTTATAATGTTACAAAAGATTTCTATTTCAGAGAAATGCTGTTCTTCTGAACTTTCTATCCATCAAAGAAACCTGAAAAAATTATACTCGGCTGTTTTCAACATAATAATAAATGATTTTTGAGCAGCGAATCAGAATATTAGAATGATTTCTGAAGGATCATGCGACTGGAGTAATGATGCTAAAAATATAGCTTTGAAATCACAGGAATAAATTGCATTTTAAAATATTTCCAAA